CGAGAAAAGGACAAGACGATTAAAGAGAAACTACTGAACTGAAAGTAACAAGGACCTTATTAGTTGGACGCGACTCCGTTACCTTTTCGTTTGTCGCTTTCAATGCTTTGGGTTGCTAGAAAAAAAACACAACCTTCAGTCCAAACTTAAAGCAAGTAAGTAAAAATCTCAACGCACCAATTGTTGTTCAAACAATCCAATGCTGAACTTCAGCATTAGTGGCTTCGCAATCCCTGCTACAATGGCTTTATGCGGTGAAACTAGGGTGACAACGAAGATTCCCATTATTTCAAAAAGTGACGATGCAGCTAGAGAACTGGTTCGAAAGCTACTAATGGAAAAGGTTGTGATCATACTCAAATACGCTTGTGTAGTTGAAAAATTTGAGGATTTCACAACGTTACACGTATTCTGCGGCTTACAAGATTCTGCGTCCAACAGTTTATGTTATGCTTTGAAATAACCACCAAGCTGCTGAGATTTCTTGTAGGCGTTTTACGAACTGGAGTAGCACGGTTTTAGTACTGGCCTATCAGATCTTTTGATATCGCTGGTTTTGAATCAGCTCACTGTTCGTACCAACCTACTCCGCCTCGGTGCAACTTCATTTTCGCTGATCCAACTGCAAGAAACAATTGTGACTCTTCAAAATGTACTAAAATGTAATTCAGGCCAAAATACACCCAACCGAAGCACAGTTGGAGAGATGTGCTTGTTAGTCCATTATATCTTAATAACGACAATTCTCTTGTCGCGATACGCCACGCTTAACCTCATTTAATCAAAGATTTCGAATTATCAAACCGAAATGATTCTGCGGCAATGAAATACTTTTTGGCGGCCATGGAAACAATGCAAACTCACCAGGGTATGCTTGGAAATACAATCGCAAGCCTATGTATTACGGCGAACTGTATGGTTAATGCGGCAACCTGTATTGGAGCCACAACCCCGCAGCACTTCATGATATCTAGATGCCTTACGCCACAAATCACAAAGCTAGCTTTTTATTTACTGCCTTCCTCAACTTTTCACTTCAGGGCATCAAGTGAAGTACAACAATAATGGTGCTGAAATATTTGCAAAACTCCGGCCGCAGGTGTCTGCAATGGGGATCGAACAAGATATTACTCTTTCACAGTGCTAACATGTTCACCATCACATCTTGCGTGTCCTCAGCATCGTTACAGTTGTATTTAGCAAAATATCTTGCCGTGAAAAATTGTATTAAGCAGTAAATAAGATGTTAACATTGTGATTTCGAAAGATTAGAGTCTCAGCTTAACTGGGTTCAGTGCCGATTTGTGCTTCCCAGATCAACACCTTTGACACGTAAGTAATTCCAACGATCGGGTTTCTATAAACTTCGTCATGAATCGAATAACTCACTATTTTCCAGGTGAGCAAACACGAGATTCCCAAGACCGACATCCTATTAACCTCGACATTCGATCATAAATGTGTCGCTCTCTTTTTTTTCAGCAGTTTCGAGGCTGTTATTCAGCACACGTTTATTTCCTTACAAGAAGAACATACAGCACAGCTGCCGTTCAGGTTTTGGCAGCATCGCGTATCATCTTCTTCAGATCCTGGGAGGGCACAGTGTTATGTATTTTGCTAGATCAAGCCCTTCAACAGCGCAAACAGAAAGATTAAAACATGAAGGATAATTAAACGATCACCGGCCTCTTGAAAAACTCAGCGTTTCCCACCTGTCTTCCACCGAGGAAGAATGGCCGCTTAGAGTCGCATATGGTTGATTACTATACCACCCACATCAAAAATCATTCATTAGATACCGAGCTAGTTCACGTGTTATCTCAGAGCATTCTTCCCTGCTATTCATTCTCAGATTTTTGGAATTTATCCAAAAACCCTCGAGAAATTTGCGTGTTGGTGCTTTAGCCTCCTGTGCGAGGATGGCTACTTTGGGATCAAAATCTTCTCCGCAATGTTTTTGTATCCTATGTGTGCCTAGCCACGGATATCCACCATACGATGGATCTCGAGCCGATTAGTCGTGAAGCTACGTGGCGCGTAAACAAGTGGCGGATAGGAGGTTAATCACGGACCAAAAGCGACCTGTGCTTCTCTGAGACGCAGGTGGGTACAGGAGATGCATTCCCTGCTTCTGCTGCGCCGATTTGGAATATACGTTCTGTATTTGCTAGGCGTATTCATTCAAGCGTGTATGGGTGCGTCTTAGTTTATGCGGATTGTATGACACGAGTCAAATCAGCCAAAAGTCTGCAACCAAGAGACAGGAAAGTATATGGGAGGCGGTTACGAGTCGCTTCCAACAAAGAAGCTCCATGTCCACTCTGGCACAGCCTACGAGCTACCCGTGAGTGTACCCAGCCCCACCCTCAGAGCCCACCAAGCTATACGTGAGTATCAAAATGCTAAACACAGTAAAAAAAATGGACCTAGTTCTCCTAACCCCGAAAGAGCCCCCAATTTCGCAGCGTTGGGTAGAATGAGAACGGAGAGGCTGCTAAAATCTCAGGACCAATGGAACCTGCCTGGATCACGAAGAACTATGCTGACGATCTGCACCTACAAAGCCTGTACACTGGCATCTCGGACTCGATGGAAGACTTGCTCATGGAAGCAAGAAGGGTAAGGTAGGACGTCATGGGCCTGGCCGAGACGAGACGACACCACCCATTCGACGCTGTCTATGACACCGGAAAACTGTTCCTCGGAAAATGCGACAGTAGAGGAGTTGGAGGCGTCGGCGTTTCCCTCAATACAAGTTTGTCCATGAACATCGATTCACTCGAACAGCTAGCAACCCGAATCGGACGTTTACGATAACAGAGATGTGGATCAATACCGGCTTTGACAATCTTCGTCGTTTAGGCGCCGACATCAAACTATGACCAAGAAGAAGTCGAAGTGTTCTATATGGACTTGGAAAAGTTTTACAGAGAAGACCATACATTCATCAAGGTCATCATTGGAGATTTCAGTGCCAAGATTGGACCAAGAAGAACGTCTTAAGAACGTCACATAGGTACACACGGATTAGAATGGAATGAACAGGGTGAGCGGCTATCTGAGTTTATTACGGCGACCATGACATGGCAACTTGCAATACAAGAAGCCTCACTCTCAACGCTTGACGTGGAAGTCTCCCAATGGAAAGTACTGTAAAGAAATAGACCACATCATAGTAAATAGATGGTTTTGCCTAACCGATGTCGCTGTTGTCCCAAAATTCTGCACGGAGTCAAACCACCGTCTCCTTCGTGCAAGATTCCATTTCTCGCGGAAAGGAGAACAAGCCGCTAAATTCAAAATCCGAAGTCCCAGAACCACCACAAATTGGGACTTATTCAATTCATTAGTCGGATGTTGGAAAGATGCCCTTGTCGATAACACCGACGAAGAATACGATCGGCTCATTCAACATCTTCACGTAAGCGCTATGAAACATTGACCAAGAGACGTTTGCCTCCAGAAACACTCAAGCTGACACGCCAGCGTGGAATCACGTGAGCAGCAGTCAACCGCGATCTAACGTCCGAACTTGCAAAAAAGTGCAGACAGGCGATAAAAGAAGATTTTAAAGAGAGAAGAGCAGCAGTTATGGTCGAAGTTGCATAAGTGGGAAAAGCATCCGCAAAGCTTATCAAAGGTTTGCCATTTACAAGACCAAGATGATTGCACCCGATGCCCAGACGAGACAGTTACAGCATCCAGAAAGGCAGTGGAGAAAATCATTCACGAATAGTACTCGGATCTCTTCGATTGCCACGTCCAAATTCCAGTCATATGAAATGAAGGAGGATGGAAATTTTTTAGTACCGGTTCTCCCTCCCAAAATCCAACATACCATTTTCTCGGTGAAAAATAGAACAGAATCAGGTCTGGAGAGGATGAGACCAGTACACCTGAAGAACCTTTCGCCAATCCTCGTAAACACACTGGTTTGGCTCTTCACACGTTACCTGTTTAAATTTAAGGTCCCCACTCAGCAGAAGACCAGCAAGACCGTGTTATTGCTCGGGCTGATAGAACACTAGACGAAGGATAGCCACGTAAGCAAGTAAAGTTTAAAAATGGATTTATCACGATGGACCACATCCACATGATAACAAGGCTCACTGAAGTATCGCAAGAGTAGAAAAGACTGCTCTGTCCCACTTTCATCGATTTACAGAAAGCCTTTGATTCAGTTAAGATAGAAGCAGTTTTGGAAGCCCTTGATAGTCAAGGAATTCCTACTCAGTACATATTCATCGTGAGCTGTACCAAAAATTCACAACCAAGATATTACCATTCTACAACGATATTAACATTGGCGTCAAAAGAGAGGATAGCTAAGGCGATACCATCTCGCCAAAATTATTTACCGCCACCCTCAAGAGCGTCATGCCAACATTGGAATGGGATAATATAGAAGTGAAAATTGATGGTCGGCAGTTACACCGTCTTCGCTTTGCTGATGACATCGTCCTTATAACACCAAACATTAGCCAAGCGGAACGTGTGCTTGCCGACTTTGATAAAGTCTGTGGAAAGATTGATCTTCGACTAAATCTCACAAAAACGATGTTCATGAAGAACGGATTGGTTTTGCATGCCCCACACGCTCAACGGACGGAACGAATATCTCCGATTGCTCCAGTTATATCTATCTTGGTCGGCAAATCAATGTGTTGAACAACTTAGCACCAGACTGAACAGAGGAAAACGAGCGGCTTGGGGAGCTTTGAAGAACGTCGAGGATGTAGTGAGGAGAAAAAGAACACTCGACTCCGTGTCCACCTTTTCGACCCAAAGGTACATTTTGCGTTAACGTATGCGTCAGAAACCTGGTCGCTCCGTAAACTGGATGATAAATTACTCAGCGTCATTGAACGCACAGTCGAAAGGACGATGCTAGGAGTCCTCTTTCACACAAGTAAAGGATGGGATCCGAAGCTCTAATATGCGTCAACGATATAAATCAAAGATGCCGTTCCATTCGGAGGATATGGTGGGCCGAACACGTAATGCGTATGAACGACACCGATGGACAAGAGCCGTTAGTGATTGGATTCCTCGGGATGTCGAACGTACTAGAGAAAGACGACCGACCCGATGGTCAGAGTTCTTCACAAAGAGCCTTGAAGAAAGATGTGATGCTCGACGAGTTCCTGGAGCGAGCAGAACCCACTGGGCTACTCTTGCACGCAACAAAAAAAATGGAAGATTTATTGGCGCCTGCTCGAGTCACTCGATGTTCAGCGGTGCTACAGGTGATATATTCTTCGCGACGACAATCACCGTCATTTACGCCTCAAAAAATGCCTTTCATTGAGCGTCAGCATGGACAGTCATTACTTACAATGTTTAACGTTTTGTTTTCTGCCTTCTATAACTTTCATGGCAGGCTACTAAGCGAAATACAACCACAACGTTGCTGAGATATTTGCAAAATCTCTGGACCGCAGGTGTCTATGGTGGGGAACGAACGCGCTATTATCCTTTCCGGGGAGTAACGCGTTCACCACCACACCATGCGGGTCCTTTGTTTCGCACGTCTCTCAGCTATTTCTATCGATCTTTTTGCCACAGCAATCACCCGTCAGCGGGGTTGATCTGGGGAGCGCAAATCGGCATAGAACCCAGTTAAGCTATGGCCTGCGGTCCAGTGTTTTGCAAATATCTCAGCAACGTTGTGGTTGAATTTCGCTTAGTAACCTGCCATGAAAATTATAGAAGGCAGAAAACAAAACGTTAAACATTGTGATTTCAACTACAGCCATAGCTTAACTGGGTTCTATGCCGATTTGCGCTCCCCAGATCAACCCCGCTGACGGGTGATTGCTGTGGCAAAAAGATCGATAGAAATAGCTGAGAGACGTGCGAAACAAAGGACCCGCATGGTGTGGTGGTGAACGCGTTACTCCCCGGAAAGGATAATAGCGCGTTCGTTCCCCACCGTAGACACCTGCGGTCCAGAGTTTTGCAAATATCTCAGCAACGTTGTAGTCATTACTTACTTGGAACATTGAGGTGGCACGGGGTTAGTATAAAGTACACTTACCAGGTTTACGTTTTCGTCTTCTTCGGAGTCACTTTGATCCAAGTCGACGGTCCACAGTTGGTCGCCGTCGCATATATTTTTTATGCCAACGTCGTATCGGCTCAGTGTATTCAGAAGTATGGATCACCCTTGTGGAGGCCCAATGAAAGTCAGTTTTTAAGATAATGCTACGTTCCAACTAATGAACTAAATACCAATAGCTGCAAGATGCACTGTCACCATGAAAGCAGACCAGCTGTTAATATTGGTTGGCAATACGTCAAAAACATCCTATGTAAAAGATAGCTGCAAAGCGAATTTCTTTATTCGAGAAGTGCTGCACTTCAAATGCCTTGACCCGATGCGACTGCTAACAATCACATCGCGACGACGGCCAGCCGTGGACCTTCTACCCGGCTCAACACCTCTGTGTGTAAGGCGAAAATGTCGGAACGTTAGCCGAGTTGTATTCTTTCTTTGATAAGCTGACACTTTATAAAAATACTTAATTCGACAAGCCTTACGTGGGGAAACAAACGATTAACAACGAACAGTAACTATCAAGGAACGCCTTATACAAAAAGCGATTCCGAGTGGAGTTAATTCATACGATCGGTACACCACTGGATTCGACTCGGTGCGAACCTGGAAACCCACAATGAAAGTGGGAACAACTGTGGTTAATCGACTGGAACAATCTGTCTCTGAATAAGGCAAAAGCACCTAAGGACTAGCTGAAGAAAGTTTCTTGTCAGCCTCTTGTCAGCTTACCAATAAATGAAAACATATGGGTTATGGATGCGGTTGAAGGAAAGTCGTTTTTGCAAACATTATTGGAGGAGTAAATCATCTTTATACCAACCTCACGCCAGCCCAATTGCCAAGCATTGAATGCCATTAATATAAAAAAATTTCTAGAAGCCATCCTGTGAAATTATGGAAAGGGCATGTCCAAACAGAACTCATGATAGCAAATCGAAGACCATGTCTGTCCTGCTGTCTATCCTCTCCTTTCCATAGGTTAATTTTTTCGCAAAAAGTAGACAATGTAGCGAAATTCGGCGAGCAATCAGTTATGATATCATTACCAATTAAACCTCGTTTGCTTTTCGACTGTCCTTCGAAGAAACATCGCCGCGATAATCGGATTCAGTGATAAGGTTAACCCTTATTTAACACATAATAGAGCTGAAAAAACAAGAAAAATGTGTTTCGTTAGGTAGTATGGAATCACATCAAGTGCAGAGAATTGTCAACTTTTGTTACAGCGTCAAACGTTCTGAAGAAAAGCGGATTTCCGGCTTGGAAGAAGCACCCACTGCTTCTAGGACTCCTGAAATTGCGGAACAAGCATAGGACCGCTGGCCGAAATAACTGTTTCAGCAGCAAAGCTTATCAGAAAGCTAACCACCTCTATTTTAATCTTCTCACACTACGTACACCATAAGAAGTCGAAAAATGGCTTCTGAGCAACTCTACTTTTCGAAACCGAAAAGGAAAACATTTCCAGTGAAGGCCTAGAGAGCATTGCGTTGGTAAAGGTTTAGATCCCAACATCTAAGGCACCTACCACAGCTCCTCATCAACGAATTAAGTAGCGTTTTACACATTACTTTTTAAGTAACAATGTTCCTTCTTAATGAAGACTAATCAAGCCTGTTACTTTGCAAAGAGAGGTTCATGCCACCAGCAACTATCGTCTCGTTCACACAAAACATTCTTAATCTCTTACTTCACTCTCCCTCAATAGGATTAATGGAATTCGAAGAAGAACAATCAATCATTTTTAACAGCACAAAAATCCTCCTCATTTGGCTAAATGCAAAGCCGTGCTTCCTCACCCTTTCATCGTTAACGAGTAGAGTTGCCACCGAATGATAAAAATATGGCATAAGTATCGGTTGATGCCAAAAGAAAGCAGAGCACCGTTTAAAAGCTCTTCACAGACCAATATAACAAACTAATTAACCTGAATAAAAAAATTAAATTACAGTAATAGGAGGATACTGTGAAAAATAAACGATGAGAAGATTAATTGCTTACTTACTTGGATACTTGGACGGTCCGACCTCACGAGCTGTGAGGACCTCCTGGAATTCGAAGATGTGACAGATTTCGTAGATCATAGATTCGCATTGGGGCTATGTATTGAAAGTGCGGTTATATTTCAGAAGACATCGCTCAAGCGCTGTGTGATTGCTGCGAAGCATTCTTGATGTAGTTGAAGTATCAACCCACTTCTCTGCAGCATAACAGAGCACTAGGAGGACCGTAGAATCCAAAAAATGAACGCGGATTTTCGGGTCCTTTTAGTTGGTCGGTGGCTTCCTTAAGAGACCCGAATGTAGCTCACGCTGCTTTTTTTAAATCTAGTTCCTTCTTCATGCTGTTTTCCATGTTCATTGAACGCCCAAGGTAAACGCACGAGGTGGTCTCTGCAATGAGAGAGCCGTCTAATTCAATTTTTTCGCCTTCCCACCATGGGTTTTTAATGGCCTATGTCTTCTTTTGATTTATACGAAGTCCGATCTTTTTCCTCGCTTCGTTGAGCTCGTTGATCATCACCTCTGCTTTGCTGGTACTTCTTGAGAAGATGACAATGTCGTCGGCAAAACAACAAAGGTTTGATAGGAGTTTTCCATCAATGCGTATGCCTTTCTCATCCCAATCGAATGACTTCATTATCCAGTGCAGTGCGGCACTGAACAGCTTTAGCGGTATTGTGTCGCCTTGTCGAATCCCTTTTCCTATGGGTATTGTAAGAGGTCGATGTAAAAGCTGCACTTTCGCAGTGCAGTTCCAATAACAGTCGGTCAGAGTCCTTATGTGGTACGGGACCACTCCTCCGTCGACGAGCGCTGATAGGATTGCATTCGTTTCGACACTGTCAAACGCTTTCTCATTGTCGACAAAGATTAGGATTAGAGGCAAGTGGTATTCCCGGAAAAACTTCGTTAACCTCGGACACGGTTTGGATGTGGTTCGTGCAGCAAAATCCTTTTCGAAATCCTGCTTACTCGACTGGTTGCGCCTCATCCAATGTCTTTGATATGCGCGAGAGGATAATCTTCGTGAAGAGCTTGTACAGTACACTCAACAAGCACATGGAACCATAACTACGAAGATCCCTTCGGTCTCCTTTTTTAGGCAGGATGACTGTGCGCAACGCCCTCCGCTGGTCTGAGACGTTTTCCTTTTGAAGGTAGGCTGCCATATGACTTGCGAGAAGTAAATGTAAATTGTGGTCCACAGCTCTAAAGAAATCGGCAGTGATATTATCGGGTCCTGAAGCTATGCGTCTTTTCACGTTTTCTATCGCAACTCGATCCTCCGACGGAAGAACTCCAGGTGGTTTTTCTCCATCGGGGATATTAGGGTCCGGGGCGGAAATGGTGGAACGGAAAAGGCTGGTGTAGAACGGTTCCGCTATTAATTCCATATCATGGTGGAAACTTTTGACGATCCCATCTTCGTTCATTAGGAGGGTTGACAGCGGAACATTATAATCACACAAGTCTCGGCGGCATTTTTTTCAGACTGCTTTTCTCTGCTGCTTCCAGTATTTCCTCCTGCTTATACAGCTGTAGATCCTCTTGCAAAGCTCTTCTGCACCTGGCGTTTATTACTAGCCATTTTAAGCGTGTTGCAGTAGGATCAAGCTTTAGTTTCCTTTTCTTTTCGAGCAACACCTTAGTAGTGATGGTGATGCGATCCGATCTTCTTTCTTGAGGAACTGAGGCGAATTCGGGACAGCTTCTCAGTCCTTCGACAGGCAGCTCGTAGTCTTCGGTCGAGTCTTCTTTAATCTGCCAGTTATGTTTGAATAGGATTTCATTCAGAATGTTCTCGTGGCATACAGCTAGACTTTTTCCTCGTGCACAATGAAGAAAGTTCTTTTCCAGCTTGTAGCTGAGTCGAATATTCGCGCGAAGAAGGCGGTGAACAGAGCCAGTACAGAATGACGAAACTACCGACGTGTCAAGTAGGCACCATCTTCTGTTTGTCAGAATGTGGTCGATCTTCGCATGAGTCATGCCGTTAGGAGACTCCCATGTCCAGCGGCGGCTTTCTTTCTTGTGGAAAAACGAGTTTCCATGGAAGAGACGTGCTGCTGACAAAAGTCTTGCGAGACGGTTCCCATTCTCATTTCTTTCTACTAATCCAAAATTTCCGATCCTGTATTCGCTCTCGCTGGCCTTTCCTATTCTGGCGTTGAAGTCTCCAACAACAAATTTATGACATGCTTTATAATTGCGGATAACTTCCTCCAACTGATAGTAGAACGCATTTAATTCTTACTCATCAGCTGCGTCGGTCGGTGAGTAGCAGTTGATAATAGTGATCTTCTTATGAAGCGACAGTTGAAGACGGAGGACGGCTATGCGAGGGGAAAGGATCACGTAAGAGTCGACGAGATGGACAGTGGACGGGTGGGCGACAAAGCCTACGCCACCGACATTTCGTGTCGGGACCTGTTTTCCACGGTTCACAAGGGTGCCGTTGTTTAGTTGGCATATGTCGGTTTTCTTGAATTTTGTTTCTTGTAATGCGATCACTTGAAATTTAATGCGATCTGCAGCTACAAGAAGGGCGTGAAGATCGGCGTCTGTGGAGAGTGTTCTGGCATTATACGTGCACAGGAAGAAACAATCTTCATGGCGTGTCGTGCGTGTGTTCATCCGATCCAGTTCCAAGAACGTCCTGCGTAACCCGAGATTTTCTGGCCTCTCACCGGCTGTCCCACCACCTGACGTCATAGATGGGAGCACCCAGTGTGTGGTGTACTGAGGCTTGCCGATTGCTGGTCGTGCAACATGGTCTTCCGTGGAGTCCTGACGTAACGTTGCAAGGGCGTATAGACATATATATATATATATATATATATATATATATATATATTAGTATGAAAGGTTAATTTCGCTGTGGAACTCCTACAAAGAAGGCAGAGATAACTTCTGAACTTTGAACTTTGACGAACTTCCTAGCATTTCCAGTGAAGTGGTAATCGCAGGATCATGGGCGATTGCTTTCATTTCTAGTCTCAAACGAACAAATTTTGTTCGTATTTTTGTTGAGCAAACGCGAGGTGTTACTATTCTTTGTTCACGATTAAGCTGACGTTTCGGCGGATTTCGCCTTCCTCAGAGCCTGGAAAGGTCAAGTTGATAGCAACTCAGTCGGCCAGACGCCTCCATGACCAAACAAAGAAACTCCAAACCAAGATTTCAATCACTTTGAACACAACTTTGCACACTCACCGCTTTCTATGAGGTTCCACTAAGTATGTCACGTAGAGACCAACCGCACAGAAATCACTTGGAAGTATAATGTGCTCCACTCATCAGAATAGCAGTCTTATATACTGCCCTACATCACGCGTGATAATGAGGCATTCTACCCTGCGGTTCATTTTCAGATTTCTGGAATTAATCCAGAGTGCCTCGAAAGTTTTTCGCGCCTGTGTTCTTGATTCGTGTGCGAGGATCGTGACACATACTTCGAAGTCGTCCCCGTTATGTCTCTGGGTCCTATGAGTGCCTAGCGGGGTATTTGGTCTATTTTTGCCGGCTAGGTGTTCTTTCATGCGGACACAGAGGGGTCTACCCGTTTCGCCAATGTATTCGTCACCACACGTCTTACAGGAGATCAGATAAACTATACCCGAGCTCATGCAATCACCGCGTCTACCACTGGGGCAAATTATGCAATTTTGAGTTGCACATAGACGGTCATATAGGCGGTTACGAACTAGCTGGCGCTTAAGATTACTTGGTGGTATTTCAACTACGCTCACCGAATTCTCTAAGCCCGCCCTTCTTAAGCAGCGTTTTATAGCTGTACTTATAACATTTGAGATGAAGGGTAGGATAAACGGGACCCTTCTATCGCTAGAGTTGACGTTTGGAGGCCTACGATTTCCTCTACACCTATTCTGAGCTACAGTTTCGTAGCCATTAGAAACGGCTATTTGCCGTGCCACGTTCCGGGACTCCTCTCTCTGCTCTCTTCCCGTGCACACGTTGGTTGCTGTTCGAAACATGTTTCTTATAAGCGCGCTTTTCGTGTGAGAGGGGTGAGAGGAGAGGTAATGAACCAAGATATTTTTACTACTTGGCTTTCGGTACCACTTTGTAATGTAGCCATTTCTGATAGGTGAATTTGTACGTTCAAAAATGGAAGCCATTTTTCTTTCGGCTTTTCTCGGGTGAACTTGATATACTCTGACTGTGCGTTTAACAATTCGAAGCATTTGTCCATTTCCTCTTGTATTGAGCAAAGGACAAAGCAGTCGTCTACATACCTACAGTAGAGTAGCGGCCCGAGATCAGTCACCGGTGCTTCCACCTTAGACATAAATGCAATGGCAAGGCTTGGTGCCAATTAATCGTGAACAAAGAATAGTAACACCTCGCGTTTGCTCAACAAAAATACGAAGAAAATCACTTGATCAATGCCGAGGTTAATAGAAAGTCGGTCGTGGCAGTTACTGCAAGATGTACCAGCAAAATACTTCCGACTTGTAAAAGAAGCGCTGTCATTGAGAGAAAAGATCGTCTCAGCTCGACAGTCAATACACTTTCTCCACCGCTGTCTAAAACATCAAGTCGTTCCGAACTTCATCAAACGAAGACGACTACACGACGTATGCGGTCTACCAGAGGACAGTCACCAAGTATTGGACGTCGAATTGCGAATACTACGCACTTGTCTACGAAGCCGACAAAACCAGATGTTCGCCAAGTGGAAGAAGTGCGAGACGAAGGAAAACTTTTGTGCTAAATATTTGGAGGACCACCTCTGGAGGAGAATAGTGAGCGGGTCAGTGTTGATTTGCAACTCTATTAGGTCTAATGCTAAAGTAGCTTTGCGAAGAAAATTCGAAGACATTTTGAGTAAATCATATAACACAGCTTCAATAGCGCACAAAAATATCGCTAAAGAACATCAAACAGATCACGTTAGGATAGGTAATGTGCAAGAAAATTCAAGGCTAACCGTGTTAGGAGGCATAACTCTCCCTGACGGTGCGCGCTCGTTATTAGAATTGGCCTTACCAACATGCCCTGTCTTGTACTTACTTATAAAAACTCATAAATTAGTATCCAGCGATGATCTTGCGTCTACCGATCCATCACTATTCGAGGTTAGACCTATCATTAGCTGTGTAGACGGGCCAACGGACAGGATAACATGGTTTTTAACCATAATATTTAACCAGTTGTTGAAACACATTCCAGCCCATCTTACGAATACCCAGATGTTTCTGGATCGTCTACGTACTGCGCAGCCCAAAAGCGCGTGCGTGATGGAGTCCTTCGACGTTACCGCCCTTTATACAAACGTATCGAATGACTACGCAATGCAAGCCATATTAGAACTCCTTACACAACACGAAGGGGAAATAAACATGTATGGCTTCAGGATAGAGCACCTGATGGCACTCTTAAAGGAATGCTTGAGCTGCTCATTCTTCAGCTGGTCTGGAAAGTACTACGCTCAAATAAGAGGGTTGGCAATGGGACAACGACTGGCTACAAGCCTTGCCATTGCATTTATATCTAAGGTGGAAGCACCGGTGACTGATCTCGGGCCGCTACTCTACTGTAGGTATGTAGACGACTGCTTTGTCCTTTGCTCAACACAAGAGGAAATGGACAAATGCTTCGAATTGTTAAACGCACAGACAGAGTATATCAAGTTCACCCGAGAAAAGCCGAAAGAAAAATGACTTCCATTTTTGAACGTACAAATTCACCTATCAGAAAATGGCTACATTACAAAATGGTACCGAAAGCCGAGTAGTAAAAATATCTTGGTTCATTACCTCTCCTCTCACCTCTCTCACACGAAAAGGGCGCTTATAAGAAACATGTTTCGAACAGCAACCAACGTGTGCATGGAAGAGAGCAGAGAGAGGAGTCCCGGAGCTTGGCGCGGCAAATAGCCATTTCTAATGGCTACGAAACTGAAGCTCGGGATAGGTGTAGGGAGACTCCTAGGCTCCCATACAACAACTCTAGCGATAGAAAGGTCCCGTTTATCCTACCCATCTTCTCCAAAAGATGTAAGTGCAGCTATAGAACGCTGCTTATTGAAACCCTTATTATTATTAGTGATAAAGGTGGTGAATTTGTAGTTCTTCATAGTCAGTTGGATATTAAGATAGTAGAGGAGCACCTCAGTGATGTTTATCTTTATCGAACATCCTCTGAAAAGGAATACAGAAATCAATACCGAAAATTAAATCAAGAATGGGTCAGCACGGCAAAGACCGCGGGTTTAGAGCCTTCAGTTATTTCTCGACTTGAAAACGAACACTCGATTTGTCCTGTCCATTAGTTATTAAAACACATAAGCTTACTTCAACTGATGATATTACATCAGCGAACCTCTCATCATATGAAGCTAGACCTGTCATCAGTTGTATAGGCGGGCCAACGGATAGAATAACGTGGTTCCTAAACCTTGTCCTAACCCAGCTGCTAAAATTCATTCCAACCCATCTACCTAACACCAAAATATTTCTGGATCACCTAAGGCGCGTGCAACCAAACAGCACGCATATAATGGAGTCATTCGATGTTAATTCACTTTATACCAATGTGTCCAATGACTCCGCAATGCAAGCCATTCTCGAGTAGCTCACAGATCATGAAAAGAAAGTAAAAACGTACAGTTTCTCGATTGCGCAACTAATGACCCTCTTAAAACAGTGTCTTACTTGTTCGATCTTAAGGTGGTCTGGAAAATATTTTGCACAAATTATAGGGTTAGTGATGCGGCAGCGTTTAGCACCAAGCCTTGCCATCGCTTCCATGTCTAAGGTGGAAGCTCCAGTTCTCGATCACCGACCCTTACTGTACTGTCGATACATAGATGACTGCTTCATCGTCTGTTCAACACAAGAACAGATGGATGAGTGCTTTGAATTATTAAACCGAAAGTCGGAGTATATAAAATTCACAAAAGAAAAACTTACCGAGAACTGGTTTCCATTCTTAAGCATCCAAATAAGGCTAACATCGAATGACTTCATTATATGAGTGCTGTTTGGTTGCGCGCGCCGCCTTAGGTGATCTAGAAATATTTTGGTATTAGGTAGATGGATTGGAATGAATTTTAGCAGCTGGGTTAGGATAAGGTTTAGGAACCACGTTATTCTATCCGTTGACCCGCCTATACAAGTGATGATAGGTCTAACTTTATATGATGATGGGTTCGGTGACGTAATACAAGACGAAAATTATGTAACGATTATTGACATCCCACCCAATACCCTACGCCGCCAGTTAGTTCGAAACCGTCTCTATGATCGTTTGTGCAGCTCAGAAAACTGTATGATCTGTCCTAACAGGAGAGACGGGGATTGCATGAGTCTAGGTATAATATACTTGATCTCATGTAATGCATGCGGCGAGGGATATATCGGGGAAACGGGTAAACCACTTTGTGTCCGCATAGAAGAACATCTAAATGGAAAAGCTAAAATCCGTCTAAACACTCCTCTAGGTACGCATAAGGTACAAAAGCACAACGGCGATGATTTTGAAGTGAATGTGCGATTCCTAGCGCAGGAATCAGAAACATCAACGCGCAAAACTCTTGAGGCGTTTTGGATAAATTTCAAAAATCCAAAGATGAACAGGAAGGACGAATGCCTCACTATCACGCGTGACCTGGCGCCCTGTTTCAAAATGATATTTTGATCCCTGGGTGTGCCTCGCTCGCGACTCCACGAAAACGTGTGGGCCAGTCCCGCACGTAACATCACGGTGAGTGGCCTTTCTGTTCAATATGGCGTCTATTTGAAAGTTTGATCTTCATTAACACTTTAACCTTTCTTTTCCATGGAATAGTAAAAATATTCTAATATAAAATACGTCCAGGCTCTGAGGAAGGCGATGTCGCCGAGACGTCAGCCATCGATCAATAACATCAAAAACAACGACAACGACAACGAAGACCTGTACCAACCTCGCGTCAGCTTAAGAAGATCAGTTTATAAGATCACATAAATAAATATATCAACTATCTATGCCTATGTTTATAGAAAGTCGGTCTTTCGGGTTTATAGGCTTTATCGTGGATGAGAAGTATTCTCGGTGATGGTCGAATTGCTGTGTGCAACGAGAGTTCAACAAAGAGGAGGCTTTTACAAACATGTCAAGATTACATTTTCGTACGGAAGCTCCGCTAAATGCGTATCCAAGCCAAGGCATTCTTGCCAAAAAAGATACAAATAAAGGGTTGCGGCTGCATTAAAATCGAAATACTTCATATTCCGTGGCTTTGATTCACATTCCATTGTTGCCTAACACTCTCAAGGAAACTGCGATGTAGAGTCGAAGACGTCGCCACCGGATGGCGCTCCTCATTTCTGCCAGCTGCCACTCATAAATCAGATCAATGAATATCCATTCTTCTTGCTTAAGATCTTCTTCCCACATAGCGAGTGCTATGTATCCTCTAGTTTTCAAAATGCACTCTTCACTGGAAATCAACGACGTCTAAAGCCTAGGAGAAGCTTAACTTTAGAAACTGTTCGGTTTCGTGAAACTAAAATGAATGAAACGCTGTTTGCACGTGCACACGATAGCTATTCTATCAATCCTGCAATAATACTAAAAAAAAAACTCAACGTAGCTGGATAGCAACCATTATCCAAAAAGGTTCATGTGCTTTCTTCAAAGACTAATCTGGAATTTTCTTTTGCCCGGGAAGGTGTTGGACAACGGAACGAATGATCTATATCATAATGTTGATAAACCACATAGAATTTCGAGTGGATAGAATCACGATTTTAGTGCGTACTGGTGCCGTTTATTACGTAATTGGAAATTTGAAGCATAGTGTAGAAATGAAGCTCATATATGATCTGCTCAACGACAGGAGGAGAAGCCTTTCCTAGCTGGAAATATACCCCAAGGTGGACTTGTTGGCGCAGCTAAGTGAAAAACAGTTAGATGCTTCTCAAAGAAGCCTTCCACAGGAGGCTGAATACCAAGCCATTGTTAGGGGAATGGAATCGAAGCGGCGCAACTGTTGGAATCCAAGGAAGCGAACAGATTTACTATGAGACTCATGATTAATGACGAGACACTCTGGAGAAATACTCTCAGTGGATTATAAATCTATCGTTCTCTTTTTTACAGCAATCACAAAGTTGTTATTCAGCACATGTTTACTTCCTTACAAATATAACACATACAACACAACGCTAGCTGACATTTCGGCAGATTCGCCTTCTTCCGTTTCTGGAAGGGTACGCTAACATGTGATTCACTAGGTCGAACGCTTCAACAACGCAAACCGAAAGGTGAAAATCTGAACAATAATTACACAATCGCCGGCTTCTCGAAAAACTCACCGTTTTTATTTGTTTTCCACCAAGGAAAAACAGCCGCTTAGAGTGGCATATCGTTGATTGCTGCAACACCCACATCAAAAGTCAATCATTTGATACGGGGCTAGATCACGTGTTATCTCAGGTCATTCTTCACTGCTATTCGTTTTCGGATTTTTGGAAACTATCTAAAATTCCTCGAAAAATTTTTCGCGTTGGTGTTCTAGTCTCCTGTGCGAGGCTAACGACTTTTACATTAAAATCTTCCCCTCTATGTTTGTATCCTATGCATGCTTAGTGAGGTACTTTGTCTTGCTTTTCGCTTGCCCTCTAGGTGTTCTTTTAAACAGATACAATCTGCCCGTTTCGCCAATATATTCGCCTCCGCGAATAGTACAAGAGATCAGGTATATAGTTGCTGAACTCATGCAGTCACCGTCTCTGCCATAAGGACAAATTACGCAACTTTGCGTTTTGTATAGACGGCCATATAGGCGGTTACGAACTAAATGACGACGTAGACTACTCAGTGGTATTTCAACTATCGCAGCCTATTCCTTCGAATCTGCCCTTTTTAAGCATCACTTTATCGCTACACTTATCGTCACACCACTCCCAATGGTTTATCATTTTACTCTAGCGAAAAGCTGTCGGGAACTACCAATCATAATCCACAGTCCATGCAAAGCCTCTTCTGCCTTCTTCACGGAGAACATTCTCTGTGCAGAGTACTCTCTTCAACAGCAAGGGTCTCTCGTCACAAATTCAACTCGTGCTGAAGAGAGTATCGTGATATTAGTTAAGCGAAGATAAACAAAATTTCTCTAGCCACGCCTGATGTAACATCTGCCTTAGATGGGCTATCGATGGAGTATGAAAAGTATCTTGGAAAATCTCTTCGGAGGAATGTACACTCGCTAAGCGGCTCTCATGAGATTCAAAGTACGTGGCGCGCTATGTGATTGTGCTACTGTACTATTAAGTCATTCAACTTGTTCTGTTCTCACTTTTGAAAGGTTCTGCCAATTATTTTTGTTTGTAGCATTTAGCCCATTGTTTATTTTTCGTTACTAATGTTTCGTTACCACGTCATCTTTTTTTCCAGTCTGGACACTTCATAAATTACGAAGACCTCTTTCTAACAAAGACAAAGTGTTGTATTATAATGGTACTGTTGAAGAATTCAACGAATCAAAAGACCTTCATACTTCGAATGCGAACTTCGCGGAATGCGGCTAAAATATAACGACCGAGATGTTTAAAAAGTGAAGGCACCCAATGGCGCATTTTAACTATTGCATTTCTTAGAAATACTTTATTTTGCTATACAGTGCTATCCATTCCATTTTTTGTGCTTAATACTTTATCCATCTGGGATGTTATTT